CCATCCTGACAGGATTATAAGAATTTCTTAATATTTCTAGTGTTCAAAAGTGGGGTATGACTTTGCATGAGGAATGGCCAAATTCACAGTATTCAAAATGCTTTCTATTACCTGCACACTAGTGCAGGTATTGCATTGCACATAATCAAAACTGATTAAAAATAAAGTACTGACACTTATACAGCTCTGTCTCTGTAACAATTATCCAGGTAAAGAGAATCCATCTGAAGTGTGGCACTCAGATGAACTGCACCTTGGGCAGTATTCCATGAAGCATCAGTGTCTTTTAAAATATTGTCTTACTGCCAGCTTTGATGCTTGATTCTCTGAAATACTTAAAAATATTTCAAACTTGCAATTTATAAGCCTTAAGGCAGTAAATTACAAGAGCGCTAAAAACATTTGCCTGTCTGAATAATGTTCTTTGATTTTTTTTTTTTAAACTCGATTGTTTTTAATGTAGACAAAAAAAAATAGTCAATTTTTTTTAGTTTTGCTTTTTTTGAAGAAGATGATCAAAAAGAGTATTTTACCTTTTGGACCTGGGTTTCCAGGAAACCCAAGCCCTGGAAAGCCTGTGTCACCTGTTGGTCCTAGATGTCCTGAATCACCCGGCTGACCTCTTGCTCCAACCCTACCTGTACAAAGAAAATAAGTAAACTGTATCTTACCACAGAACATCAACTTGTAAGGTTAGGCATTTTATAGCTTGTCATTATTAATTAGGACACCACTGTAGATTATATTAGAACTTAGACACTATTTCTCCTCCACAGTTTTTCACAGTTAAAATGCTAACTGTGTTCACAGTATCAAAGCAGGCATGAGTCTGTGAGTTTAGTTTTTATGCAATCTGCCCAGATTCCAGACTTCTAGGAACAACTACGTGCAGATAGAAATCTTCCACTTGCTGAGAAGATACAAATGCTCATTATAGGGGTGAAGCTTGGAACAGAACAACTGTAAGAACAGAAGCTACCATAGAGCTGCCAAGAAATTTTCCTATGCTATCCAGGGCAGCTTTAAGGACTATTGTTCTACAAAACCAAAGCAAAGATGCCTTACAGTTAGTCTGAATGTCACCTACTGTCCTTCAGTGAATTCAAAAATTCTGCAAAATTTAAAACACCAGCAACCAAAAAAAATCCAACCTAGAACCCAAGCCCAAAACCCACCCAAAAAAGGAAACTCAGGTTCTTAATATCTTAGAACCATGATTAGTAACAGTCATGTCAAAAAGGAACCAGGAAACTTAGTAATATAGTTACTTTTTTGACTATGCCCCTGCAAAGCATGAGAAGAGCTAAGGGCTTCATGAAGATTAAGAATGCTTCAACCTAATTTTGTTCCTTCTGTTTTGAAGGTTGCAGCAGTCCCAGCATAATTTACAATATGCTTTTGTCAAAATTATGCCAGAGGCGCCTTCTTGGTTATACAAGCTGTGGCACATGCACCAGATGTTTCTGGTTCTTGGAGGAACCAAGTGAAAGCATAAGACTGCTTGGAATCTCTGCCATTCTGGCACCATGGACACGGCCCTGTGTGCCCTCCCTATTCACATCTACTTCCTCTAGTCTTCTTGAAAGGGAATGTTACAGCTAATTCCACAGTTTCTGTACCACTGAAATCCTTTTTACAGTTATTTCAAAGTAACCCAACAGTTTTATCTGGCCAGAGCTGGGAGAGAAATCCCAATCAGATTCTCTATGATTTTTACTGTATTTAGTGCAGATGTACTCACCAGGCACTCCCGGGGGTCCAGGTAAACCATCTGGTCCTTGAGGTCCTGGCGATGCAGGTAATGGAGTTATCCTAGTGGTCTCTCCTTTCAGACCTTCAGCAAATACATAATCAAAGATTACAAAGGCTTATAGTTTGGCAATATGTAATCTTAAGCATTTAAAAACATTCGTGATCAAGCTACTCTGTTAAAAATGCAGTCTTCTACAGTTTCCATATTTCTGAAACTCCAGCAGACTTTGAAAAGCCTTCGGATCCTGGCTTCATAAAGCAAAAGAATTTTATTGACACCAAGCCCATCTGCAGTCTAGTGGCAACACAGAAAAGGAAGCACAAAGTCAGCAGGACAATGATGCAATTGAGAAATGCTTAATCTGCAACTCCATTTCATAAAGATTTAATGGGTATTCTCTTTAAGAAACCTTGACTATATCTGCTGTCCAACTTTGAATTCTTCCAGATTATGCTTACCTATAAGTACATATGCTGGTCTGTTTTCAGCACTCAAAAATGATTAAGTCATTTGTATTTTCCCCTGATGACTTAGGCCACACTAACAATGGTGACTGGATACATATTTAAAGACTTTTTTTTTTTTTTCCATGATGAGGACAGTCAAGCACTGGAACAGGCTGCCCAAAGATGATGTGCTGTCTTTGTCCTTGGAGGTTTTTAAGGCTCAACTGGATAATGCCTTGAGTAACTTGGTCTGATCTCATAGCTGACCCTGCTCTGAGCAGGAATTTGGACTAAAGACCTTATAGGGTCCGTCCAACCTCAATTATGACCCTAAGACTTTTGTTATTATCTCCAGTGGGACCAAAGTTGGAACAACACTGTTGAAATCTCATTGCAAGAAAAACTTCCCGTGTTTCATAAATTATGTCTTTGACTTCAATGTATCTCTGCAATTTCAACCAAGTACTCTTTAACATAGGTAAAACATGGTAAAATAGGATGTTACAAACCAGCTTCTCCAGGTAATCCAGGTGGACCAGGTACTCCTTTAGAGCCTTTGAAACCTCTTATTCCTTGTGGTCCATATCCTGGCAGTCCAGGAAGCCCCATCTCTCCAGGAAGACCAAGACTGCCAGGCAATCCAGGTAGTCCTCTGTCTCCTTTTGAACCAGCCAATCCCTATTAATGATTACACATGTGTGTATACCAAGCATTACTTGCTTTCCACACCAGCCTTCAAAACAAAATGCCTGATTCTCTGCCTCACTATAATTGTGCATTACTTTAGTAACAGGGTAGCTCTGCTAATTTAAGAGGAATTTTTCCTCTGATTTACTTGTGATTAAAAGAATATAAGTTTTGTTATAAATGGTTACAAATAAAAGGCTATTAAGAGTGAAATCATACAAATAAATACAACAGCTTGTTTTTTCAATTGCTCTGGCATTACACTGTACACTTTTTTCTTTTTAAAACAGATTTGGTAATGAAAAAAAACCACCCCAGCTCTGAATCTCCTTGAATATTGTGGAGTCAGGTTTAGAGATAGTTATATCTAAATTACTTCAACAGTTTCTCAGCCAACACAACACAACAATAATTGTTACTTTTTGCTTCTGCTGAACAAAGAGCTCTGCCCTAATGATTCTAGTTTTATGGTCAGTCCTCCCAGCTTTTGTGGTTTCTCTCAGCCCTGACTGAAGATTAACTCCTAAAGACTGAACAGGAACCGTTTCGATTATTATCTCCTTTTAAGCATTTTAAGTAGTCAGGAAAACTATCTTTTTAAAAAAAATCTTATTCATCATAGGAATCCAAGATAATGCTCCAATACAAATATCCAAACTAATACCAAAATAGACTGCATAGGTTTTTCAGCAACATGTACCTACACTAGCCTCATCTCCCTCTAGTATTACATAAGAGTATTTACCCTCATTCTTCCATGCATATTGGTTGCTATAGTTGAGCACACTACCCATAAGTCAGGTAGAGGATATTCAGTTAAAGTATCTGAATAGATAAAACAGACTGTTGTACAAGACATCAATACTGACTTAGGTTATCATGAATTCTATATTAATTGCGAACAGTGCATACCCACCTCTTCACCTTTAGAGCCCTTGCATCCTTTAGAGCCAGGTCTTCCCAGAAATCCACTTGAACCTTTTCTTCCTTTATCTCCTCTGGCCCCTGGATCTCCTCGCTCACCCTTTGGCCCTTCTGGATATACGTAACCTGGCTCACCTTTTGATCCTTTACGTCCTTGATCTCCTCGAAAACCTGGAGGTCCCTGGAACAGAGCAATCAAAAGAACTTCAGTGCTGACATATGTCAACTGTTTTCAAGCTTTCTTTTTTTAAATTAAATACCTGAGTGATTCTCTCTATTCTCATCTTTATTCACTGTAACAGAACACTTCAATCAACAGGGTTTTGGGGTTTCATTTGTTCGTTTGTTCTTCCTTTTTCTCCTGCCTTTACTCCTGATTATCATTTAATCTACGCTACTAGAAGTGGGAACAATGCAGGATCATTTAATGGATCAGACTATTAGCTACCTGGTTGTGCTTTGGAAGCATAAAAAGAAGGCCAAGTACCTTAATCTAATTAGAGATTTCTCCTCCACATGGGAATATCTCCCCAGGGACACTGTAACTGCCACCGTTGGCTCTGTTTGTAGTTAACTTCTCCTCTCCCTTCTCTCCCCCTCAGGGTACAAAGTGGGTACTCTATCCCAGCCAAAACCAGTACAAGCTGAAAGCACACTGGGCTCTAGTGATCTTGGTCTCATGAACTCCTGGGAGCTTTCTGGAAAAGCCTGTTACAAGACTCATTCTGCACCTGTACGGCAACCACAATGAATACTTGTGCCTGACATTTTCTTATTGGACAGCGCCAACTGTAATTTCCCATAAATAATTACTACTACAGGCACAAATTAGAACAACCAAATGGTATGTCTGTGGCAGCAGGTGTCAGCCTTCCCTCTTCATAATGTTTCCCAAGAGGGAATGTTCTTTGCACCACTGAAGAGGGTATTACAAGAAGCAAGTTTCTCTGCATGGCTGGGGCTTTAGCAAGTCCTGAGTATGCTGGAAACAAGAGAAGTAAGAAGTCTGACGAAGATCAAAGCACACAAAACTCTATATATGCTTTACAGCAACTGCCATGGTTATAGAATCACAGTGATGAACAGAAGTTAACTGTAAACTACCCATACCAGGCAGAAGTAGTCTAGCCATCATGAAATGCAGCACAGGTTAATCACACAGGTTTACCTGCCTCACTGCCTGGACTGAACTTCCTGCTGCACTGAGCAAAACAGGCTCATGTAAAGCTAGGTCAGCCATACTTTACAGTTTCTGCCTAGGCTTCCCATGCAGACACATTCATTACTACAGAAAGAAAACTGTTGAGGTCACCCAGTATGACACTGCATGTAACACCAGCCATGAGGTTTCTCTGAAATAATTCTTGTGGGGATCTGAAAAACCGAAGTCTTACTTGAGCTCCTGGAAACCCTGGTGCTCCTGGAGAACCTGGAGAACCTTTTGGACCTCTTGTTCCTTCTCTACCTGCAAAAGAAACAGCATATTTTTTAATGAAAACAAGGACATGGATTTTGACAAGCTCCAATAATCATACCCAGTATTGAATGTTTCTGCTTGTTACATTGACTGCATCATCATAGACTGACCTGGCTTCATGCTGCACCTAAGCCTATTAGAATTCTGACTTCACCTCTTTTAGGGCTTGTGCTCGTATCAGTGGATGGAGCTGCATCAGGCTCTTACACTCATCACAGCCTCAGGGCTAGTTCAAGGACTGCATGCTGCAGACGTGCCAAAACCTGATTCTCATGCTAAAAGCAAAATCATTGGCATTTCCTACCATCCTGTTAAGAGCAACAAGATAATTTACCAGGCATGCCATCCTGGCCTTGTGGCCCAGGAGAACCAGGAAGACCAGGTATTCCCGGAATATAGCTGCAATCAGTACACACGTAAGCTTCATCACCTAGAACGAAAATAATTCATTAGTTGTTCCACAGCTAGTCATTCCCAAGCTTAACTGATGTGTTACATTGTTATAGTGGATGGCTAACACTTTTTGGCCAGAGAGTGGTAGAATCACAGCCTTTATTTTGTTGGAAGATCGCTTCCAACACAGTACAAAATTATCTGTGGTCAGACAGTGAATCAGAACTGATAACATTTAACTGAAAATGCAGGGACATTCAGTTTAGATCTCTTTATTTTTTCAAGTCTAGTTTTAGTAACCCATTTGGATACAGTCACTCTACTGATAAGCCAAATTCTCTGAAAAGATGAAAGGGACATAGGCTTCAAACTAACATGGCTCCATAACAGCCTGGGTGACTTTAACGACTAGCAAGTGGCAAAGAGATTCAGCATCTCCTGTGGGGAGATTTGCAGGAGACTTCTCTCAGAGAACAACTGTTAGTGCTGAACATGAGAATATGAAAACCCTACCAATCTGTAATAATTGTTCCAGTGAAGATTTACACCCTGATGCAGTGCTGTACAACTGGTGTGCAGCACTGGCACATGCACTGCCCTTCTAACTGCTGTTTACTGTAAGGGGAGGAAGACATCTTGCTATCCCTAATGAATTCTTTTAAATCTCTGAACTCATCAAATGGCTTAAGAGATAAATTAAATTCAAAATCTTATGAGGATCCATGAAGATTACTGGATTGTACCGTCTACTTCTGAGCGGTAGTTTTCTGAAACTGACCTTTAACGCCCGTATCTCCTGGAGGTCCCGGAGGTCCTGTACACCCTGGCTCTCCAGGAAGTCCTGGTAAGCCTGTTCTAAATGTTACTCTACCTGTTAATGAAACGAGCATGGCACCATTACATCAGCAGATTATTCAGACAATTCTCTAGCTGCTGAGACAAAAATGTTGCAGGGATGAGCTGGAGACAGTATTCTGATCCTTATGGCTCCCTTTCAACTTGAGATATTCTATCATTCTGTGATTCATTTAAAAGAGGGAACTACCTGGACAAATCCAAAACACCTGTAACTGGAAGTACTTGAGGATAAATATGGTAATGCCAAAGTAAATCTCAGCAGAATAACTGAGATCTGTCTAGCCTTTAAAAAGCACAGTCCTTCTAGGAAAGTATTTCCATTCGTGGTAGGGAAACTTTTTTTTTTAATCCTGAATTATTAATGCTGTTCATGTATTTTCGACAGAATTATTCTGCTGTATTTACTAGTACTTTGGAAAAACAGAACATGCATCGAGCTCTTCCTAAGGTAATGTATATGGGGCATAGATACATTTTTCGAAGAGAGAGAAAAGAGGAGCACTACATTGGTACTGGTTCAGAAAAACTTGGTTTGGCCATACCACATAAAAAAGAAACATGATGCTGTTGGGACTCCTAGTTAAAGAGGTATTCCAAGTTAATACATTTTCCTAGAAGTATTATAAACTGCTACGACTTTATTTTCATGCTGCCAGAACTTCAAACCTGCTCTAAGGCCCACTAAGACCTCTGGAGGCATGCAAGTGATTTCTCTACCTTTCATATTAGCCCCTTCTGAATTTAGTTTTACAGATTTACTACAACTTTTGGAAAAATTAGAGTTTTTTTAAGAACAGATTTTATCTCATTAGTCTTTCCTGGTTTTATGTAGCAGATTTTTAGAGTCACAGTTATACAAAAAGGTGAGAAATCTTTGGGAAGCCATTGTATCTTCCTCACAGAATCTCATTAGCAATGGAGCACAGACCTTCACTACATATGTGTTTTCATGAATATCCTAAAACAGAATTTCCGAAGAGAAATTATTCAACCATATTACTCAAAATATACTCTGTAAGTAATGAATTTATATAATCTCATACATTAGGTATTGAGATGACTCTGGATTTGTTCTTGTTCATTGTACATACAATACTGAAACATCACCTGGTTCTCCTGGAGGACCTGGTAATCCAACAGAACCAGGTCTGCCAGTAATACCAGGTAGTCCTGGAGGGCCTACAATACACAAGCCAGTCTGTCCTTTCTCTCCTTTTGTTCCTTTTGGCCCAGGAAATCCTGGGGGACCTCTCAGACCAGGTCTTGACACACCTAACCAAACAGGAAAAAATACAAAAAAGAAGTTAAAGAAGAAATGGAATTTCAAAGCAAAGGAAGTACTCAATAGGATGAATGAGACACAAACATACTGAGTTCATCCTACAAATCTTTTTTATCTTGTAATATATTAAATAATCACAATGAGAATGTAAAGACATTTTAAAATGATCTTTAACCTCTTTTTAAATGCTTGGCCCATCAAAGCTTTTGGGTGACATTTTTTTACCACTTAGAGATATGTTTGAAGTAATCTGAAGTTAAGATTCCACCAAGCTTATTCAGTATAACGGGCAGGAAGAACAATGTATTTTATTGTTGGTACTGGATCATTACACATACCTGGTCTACCAGCACCTCCAGGAGGACCCTGTGGTCCTGCAAAAGCAATGCATTTAGAACTCGAGTTAAACCACTGTATTCTCTGCAAAGTCACTACTGAATAACATTGACTGCAAACTTTGGGCTTCTGCATTTTAAGCTTATTTTATCTTTTAAGAATCTGGTTTTGACTGAGTAGGCATCTATTACTTATGCAACTGTTGCATACTGACAATTCTCCCTGAAATCTGGCAAGATATGGATGTTTACGAGAGGCAGGAATAGGATCCACCACATTTATCTTAGATGGGGATGCACTCAATTACTTGAGAACAACTTACAGGCCTGCAAACTTGCTTCTTTTTGCCACTATTATTTGCTCTAGTAAATATACCACCTCTTAGCAATGCATTAATATCTTTGCAAGGCTCAACTTTCCTGTTGCCATCCCTTCCAAGTATGCAAGTAGATTTGTAACAACAAAGTGTATTCACTGAATGCAACACAATCACTTGGATACATAAATATTCATAAAACTAGAACATCAAAACACAGAAGGCAAGGACTCACTGGATGAGTACAAGATATAACCTACAAGATGCCTCAGAGTTCAGCCCACAAGTCCTTGTTACATTGTGATACAGCTCAAATAATAAATCAGTACATTTTAATTTTACAGCATGGCCAAAATAAACAAAATAAAAACTTGCAGATCATTATTATTTTGGAATGACAAGCAATAAAAATGGCATAAGACAAACTATGAAAGCTATAAAAAAAAAAAAAGAAAAAAGAGAAAAAAGCACATGACCTTTAACAGGAGACTTAGAGCCCTGATCGTTTGTCTACGGCATATACAAATGATGTGCTGATACAGTAGTCCACTAAGGTCATGAGACAGGATGTCAGTGAGCTTAGATGGTCAACTCAATTATCTGCGCAAAGAAATGTGCCAGCTTCATTATTTTTAAGAGGAAATATGGCCATAAATCAAAGTCTCAGATTACATTTCAATTCTGCAATTTGATGGGAGTATTTTGGAAATATTCTTGTAAAGGCAGAAGCAGGTTGCTGAGTGCTCAAAAACCTATCCTGCAACAAACCCTTTGAGTGAACAGCTCTTCCTAAAAGACTCTAGTTTTGATGTCCCACTCACCAGGCATGCCACGTTGACCTTTTGGTCCTGGAGGTCCGGGGGGTCCTTCATCTCCTTTTTCACCAACAACACTATCATAATACTCCGTCTTAAGAGAAAGATTGTAAGAAAAGAAAGAATAGTGAGAATGAAGAGAGAAGCACAGTACCTCATATTGAACATTTAGTTAGAACAATGCTATGATCTCATTCTTAATTTTGATTTTGTGACACCATGATACCTTTCTAATCACATGGTAATTACAAGCAGCCAGAAATGAAATCATAATTGTTACACACAGATAATACCAGAAGGCCTGTACAAATATATGGGGCTGGGATTTCAGCTCAATTCTTCAACTCCCAGAGAACTCCTCTGCCTACAGATGCAATTATACAGGCAAGGTATAAGTTGGAGACCCAGTCACAAATATTATGGTAGCATGAAATCAAAAATATTGTTGAAAGAAACCTCTAGGAATCACTTTGTCTATTCTATTGGCTCAAAGCAGCATCAGCTGTATCTAGACTACTCTTTTAAATAATCACACATGAAAACAGACAAAAATCAACTACTTAAATCACATGTGCATTAAAAAGTCATTCCTATAAAAATTAATACTTAATTTATTAAAATTTAGTATTGCGATGTTTCAAGTTTCTACAAATGACAGGCAAAATCAAAAGGCAATTTGCTGTACCTCTGTTTTTTTATATCTACAAATTTTTGCTCTTTTCTGGAATATTTTGCATGGGCACCATTACTGACAAATCAGTATTATAATAATTATTGTGCCTTCATATATAAACATCACACTGAAATTTAAATTGACTACTAATGCACCAATTTTAAAAGGAATAAAAATCTGCTTAAAATTAAATATCAAAATTTTTACTTTTCTCCTATAGATTTTTTGAAAAGCAGTGGTTTTTTAGTACTCTGTCAATATCACAAATGATTCAGCTTTTTACAAAGTTATTTCTTTTGAACAATTTGGGCAGAAGGTTTCCATTAGGTACACGAGGCCTTTAAGAAAGCCACTAGTGAGACAGCATGACCAGACAGAGAAATTGTTCTCACAGCATCTCTTGCTTTCTTTAAAAAGTCTTAGGATTTTAAAATTAACACAAACTGTTCTGGAACTGAATAATGATTGGTTTAAAAATTAACTCCTGTGAATTTCTGTAACTGTCCTGTGACAGTCCAATCTCCTGCCAAAATTGCTGGAACTGAGTGAGGTCTAACCAGGACCTCATCATGCATCTGGCTCCATGTGAAGGACAATGCCATCTCCGTGAGACTCCTAGCAACACCAGTACTTTGAAAAAGCCATGCCTCGGTTAGAGCACCACAGGACATCCATTATTGCCTCATACAGGCAGTTTGGCTTATTCTTATTCTAACAGTTTAGAACAATGATATGATGAAGATAATTTACACTTACTCGACCACAAGCTCCAGGTGGACCAGTGTTTCCTTTCATCCCCTTCATCAGAGGACAGAGATGGGTTTGTTTATTAAAAACAATACATGACATGACATTTGGTACTCACTGTTACTTCAGTACACTGTTCAAAACATTAAAGAACTTCTGCTCCTGACCAGTCCTTCACCACCCCCATCTCTGTTCCTTTCACAACTATTCAGCCACATACACCAAAAACTACAAGAACATATCAGCAGGCATAGAGATGGACACCAGTTCAAACACATGATCTGTTTCAGCTGATCCCTTCCCTATTCCATGATATCATTACTTGTCATCTGTTAGGTAAGGTAAAACACATTGCATACACAGTGATAAATAACCAAAACCCCAAAACATACCTTATGCTCATCCTCAAAAGCAACAACAAAACCATTAGACAATACCTTAGCTCCTTGCCTGCCAGCCAGTCCTGGTCTGCCCTGTTCACCCTTTTGTCCCTGCAGGTGACAGTACACAATTTTATGAGGATTAATCTTTTAGCACTGCCATCACTAAGATCTAAAATGGAAAGCTTTAATTTTTCATGATGATGGCAATGTGAATATGACTTGCTCACATGAAGAAATCTCAGGGAAAGACTCTGTTTGGGGTACAGTTCCATGTCTGTGGGAAATACAGCAGGTCTCTCATCCAAACCTGCCTTTGTAACGGCACACTCCACCAATCCCAAGGTGGAGCTGTCCTGGATAGTGCGAGTGTAGGAGGCTCTGGTTTGTTCTCCCTCTACAAACTACAATTTCTGAAAGGAGAGAAACTGAACACAACGTGACACTCACATTCAGCTTGGTCAGTCTGCGTGATGGTGTTGATCTCAAGAGCTGTCAGCAAAACTGGGGGAAAAGAGTGCAGACTGCTGCTAAAGCTTTCTGCAAGCATATACATGCAAGGAAAAGAGACTTCTTAGAAGCTTATGCAGCTGAATGACAGAAGGTTTTCCTCCTGTTAGGTGAGGCAGTGGAGCTTTGCGGTTTGTCATTCCACATTCTTTGACAGAGTGGAATGTGTTTAGATTGTCTGCAAAGGTCATTTTGGCATGATGAAGATGATGTTTTAGTAAGACACGTGAGAAATGGGCTATTCTGACAATAAGAATTTTTGTAAGGTATTTGTAAGGTCATTGTGACCCTAATGATGTCATTAAAGTGGAAGTGAAGTAAATATAAAAGAATTGATATTTCACTGATTGAATACAGTATTCCAAACACATTTGAACAACCTTAGCTTTTAAATTAGTAGGCAAATGAGATCACTTTCATTATAAAATGGCATATTTTAAGAATTATATGATGACAAGATGACAGTTTTAATATCTATCAGTCATCTTGTTTCAGGCCAAGGCAGCTGTGACCTTAACAATAACTTTTCTTTGTAAAAGAATGTCTTTGATTCTAGTGATGACAAATTATTCATTTTGCTTCTTGATTTATGCTGAAGTGAAGGTATAACTCCTTTGTAAAAATTTCAACGTGACTAACCAGAATTAAACTCAGTAGAATTAATTTTGCATAACTTGGACTGTGTCTCAAACTTTTTAGATAGTCAGCAACAGGCAACATGTCTTTTTATTTTATACAGAAGAAGAGACAACATCTATGAACTGAGCCCCTCTCTCCTGCATAAATCTATGAGGAGACAGTACATCCCAAAGACAGCTGTGTGAAAGAAAATGTTTCACAGTGTATGCAAATCAACATTTTCAAACACATTCTGCAATGTGAAAAAGCTATGACAGGAAGATATCACTGTAATAAACAGATGGCTATTACTTAGAAAACATTTAGAAGGCTTCCTTCATTACCGGTAAGCCAGGTGGACCTGGGGCACCTTCTTTTCCAGGTTTACCCTACAAAGGAAAAACATAAAATAAAATAAAAAAACTTAAGATGATCAAGAGAGGGGTCATTGCATTCAAAGAGCATAACAACTAAATACTGCACATATAAGTGTATTTTAGATCTTTATATAAATTTTGAAAAGCCATTAAGCAGGCAGCTAGTTACAAGATAAAGGGGGGTGGAAGATGAAGAGCTCAGAACAACAGGGGAGAAAGTATGTTTTAGAAATTTGTTTTTCACAGAATAAACCAATGAAACTTAAAATAATTCTGAAAAAGATGACCAGGCCATGAATTACGATGCAAGCATGAGAAAAAACAGCAATACTCAAAAGATTGCAGAACGTAACCAAGGATGATACTCTGGAAAAGAAGAAGGGGAGCTGGAAAGATGTCACCACAGGCTCAAAACTCACTTGCACAAAATAGTATTTTTTTCTAGAATGTAAAATCCATAGCCATTTGATATTTTGTGCTCACTGATGTAATTTCAATAGTAAAAATTTTGTTTTCATTTCAGAATAGCCAGTCAGTCAATGTCTTAACACAATTTGTATTTCCTTAGCATTCTTCAAGGTCAACAGGCAGAAAAGCAAGGGTGCTCTACTACTTCATCCACTAAGGAGGAAGGGGGAGGTCAGTTAAGAGTTATAAAAAATACTGCATGACAGGACAGGGCTTTTGCAAACAGAAGACATAATATGGAAGAAACACAGAAGATGGAGGAAGAATAACACACATTGGGTAGCAAGAACTTTTAGTACTTTAAACCAGTAACTCAAAAATTTTCATAACATATAGGAATAATAAAAATAATAATCAAGTTGCTCTATAGCATCATCATCATTATAGCACCATACAGCTGGAGAAAAAGCTATCTACAGGTAGTACTGGTCTTGTCTTGCTACCCTTCCTTGTGGAAGAAAATTTATGGCAACCACATATGGGAAAAGTTTCTAAATACATATGTTTGGACAGAATTAGATATTTCATGAGAAAATTATTTTCTTAATATTGCTTTTAAAAATGTATTTGGAATCAAAATGTTTTGTTCAGAAAATGTCACAAAACATTTTGATTTATTTGGGTATTTTAGGGTTCTCACCTGATTACATATTAGTAAACTGTTATGAATTCATACAGTTTTAGTTACTAAGAACCTGCATCTTTCATTGATTAGTTTTTATCTGAAAGTCTGAAAGCCATTTGAATGCAAAGTGGTAACTTCCTATTTAATTCTCTTCAAAATATAGATGTACTCAAGTAAATAATATTTTAATGTGTATGCTTTTTAAAATAAACATATCATTTTTTTTCTCATGTTTTTGTGTTAATAGAATAACTCTTATGACAATTTTCTTCATGTCTCCACACACCTGCTGGTTGAGCATACCAATTTAAGTCTGCTGCCTTAAGTAAACCCAATGTTTTTAATTCTCTTCTACATACACACTGGCACTATAAAGCCAGTATGTGTTCAGAAGAGCACTTTTTTTTTTTTTTTTTACTAAGTTTCAACAGTAGAACTTTTACAGCAAAACAAATAGAAGGGCACCCACCATCAACTGACCTTTACTTCATGTACTCATGGTAAGTGAGCCTATAAGAACAGTCATTTGACTTTCAGCTCTCTAGTCTGGTTTACTGGATGAAAGAGCTTTCGAATCTAAGAAAATTTGCTCCAAGTGGCATTGAAGCAAAAACTGGAGAGCAACACCAGTGCAAAACTGCTTTTCAGAAAAGACTAACATGTGTACTCAGTTGTTTGCACATACCTGTGCTCCGGGTTCTCCTTGGTCACCCTTTTCACTTTGAGAATCACCAACAGGCCCCTGTAACAAAACCAGCCTCAAGATACACATACTTGAGACTCACATTTTCTAATTAAAATGTATCTTTTGTAATTTATCTTTTCAAAAAAAGTGTAAAAATAAAGTACAGTTAGAATGGGTATTCTAATTCTAATTAATAATGTTAATAGGTATTCTATTCATCAAAGGTTGGAATAAGTAGTGTAAATACTGGACTCTAAATAGAGTAGCATTTACTAGGTGATGCTGCCTAAACATCTGGATTTAAGGGATTTACTTCTGGTCACTTACTGTGAACCCCATTGGCCCTGGAAGTCCTCTTGATCCTTTTTCTCCTTTCTCTCCTTTCAAGTCCTATTACACAATAAATAAAAATTTAATATGGTCTTTTGGATTTTTCTGTGCCTACCATAACACTCAAGTTTTACAAATAAGAAATCCTTATGTTACCAGCAAGCTTCTTTAAGCAGAGATGGTTCTACTGAAATGACTAAGAAACAGAAACTTGATATCAGCGCTCCTGCCTGTCTATGATATTTGGAGAAGAAACTGGCTCTGCACATTATTTCTGAACATAGTGAGTTCAAAACAACCTACCTGTGATTGCATGCAAGGGGACTGGAATAAATATCCCCAGAAATGGCAACAAGAAATTGCAAGCAAAAACCAAATAAACCTTAGTTGCTCCACTGGAGCTACAGTTACCTCCAATACGTAAATGCAGTGGCTACCCATGTAAACCTTCCCTCTGTGGGCTCAATATTAGATTACCCTACTGTGTAGTACTACTGTGTACTGGGACACAGCCTAAGGTCATTGTAAAGCCAAAGTTTACAGACTGCCTAAATATTACCTGGTTAGACTCAGGCCCCAAACTATTTAAGTAAGGAGTTTTGAGGGGTTTTTAAACCTTTATGCCCAGTGCCTGTGAAAAATTGCCGTTCCCCCATGATAAACTGCCGCAGCTGCGACTGCGAAGTGCTCCGGGTGGTCCATATTTGATTTAAACAGGGAAGAGCTGCTATGCCTAAAAGCTGAACCTTGCTTCTGCAATCTCTCTTCCTTCAATACAGTCTTAATGCAAAATTCACAGGAGTTTTGCATCAAGTGCACAGTGATGCAAAAATCCAGGGAGTTTTGATGCTCCATGGATTAGATGCAAATTAAATAAGGAAAACAGAGTCAAGAACAGGTGGAAGACCTGTTCTGTTAATATGTGAAGACTTAAAACTGTGTGTCAATTACTGCTGTTTAAGTTCTATGTAAGGACAAAATGCAAAAATTTTAAGTCACAAAGCAATACCTAAAATGAAAGCTGAATCAGAGTATTTCCTTTCTCCAATACTCACTGTTTTTCCAACACTTTCCATGACTACTCATGTTCCAGTAAAAACAATGAGAAAATAAACTATGAAATGTACATGAACACGTTGTAAGCTTTCATGAAACTCTGGTAGTTCAGAGCCCTGATATTTTCAGTGACAAGGCCCAGAGGTCAACACAGCTGTGGCTTTGATAGCCATTCAGAAAATCCATGTTGATTTGATAAAGCTAAAAGTGATTTACTTTTCATGTACTTGGAGATCCACAGCAGGTGGATTACTAATAAGCATTTAACATTCCACTGGCATTGTGCAGATATGCATGTGAATACACACACCTCAGCTGAGCTGGCTGTAGAGACACACTCTTAAGGAGAGCTTAGTATCTAACTAAACAACTCTGAAAAATGTTAGGATGGGTGAAAGGAAATGTTATCGGAACAATGAAGATGAAAATGTCCTCTCAAAGTAAAACCTAGTAAGATGCTTATCTGAATGTGATGTTTAACAATTTTACTACCGTTGTGTTGTCTGGTCCACTTAATGTCACAATAACGGTTCCTGGTGGTCCAGGGGGTCCAGTTAACCCAGTGTCACCCTTTAAACAAAAAAGAAAAATAAAGCAATTATAAACAGCATGTTTTTTTGTTTCAAATTTCTATTGCTATACTTTTGACAACATGAAAATTTTTCTGTCATTACACTTAGCCATTAATACAGTTAACATTTCTCTTTGCTTGCTATTTATCTTCCAATAAAAAAGACATATGGAAGACTTAAGACTACTATGACAACCTTCTCCTAGCTGAGAAATATAGAAATGCATAGGCTGATTTCTCTTAAAGTATCTAGAAATAGCTAAATTTTGATTACTATTAAATTAAAAGTTATACAACCATTTTAACTCCAAATAAAAATAACTCCTTGATTATAATTTTTCTCTCCATTTGATTAAGTCAATCAATAAAATACATGAACTGTCTTCAGTGACACCCTCAAAACTGCAGTCTGTGTATTACAGGGAGATGATTGTAACATAGTGCTGACAGATTAAATTAGCTTTTGTGTGTCCTTAACCGAAAACATTAATATTACAGTACACTTTTTCATTACGGATCTTTTAGAGCAGGGGAAGTCCTAAATCTTTCCTGTGGAGCTCAAAAAAACAACATCCATTAACTTCCAGTGATTTTAAGCTAGTGGAATGCCTTTGCATGCACTTGCAGCATAACAGCAAAGAATGCATGAGTCTTCCATAAGGAAGCAAGATGCTCCACAGTCACCTGAGCTAATGCTAATGAATAATCAATTCTCTTTACAGAAATTTTCCCAGGAAACTTCTAGCACATTGCTGGTAGTAATTACAAAGTTAAAACCAATCCCACTGTCAGATAGTGCTGTTTCAGTTCACAGCTGAATCTGTGCAGGTCAGTTAGCGTAACTGTGAGATGCCCCAAGTTCTTGAAAGGATCCTGTAAGGACATTCAGACTGACTACACTGGTCCTCCAGCTGAGGTCCTGAGAGGCAATATTTGTATTTGTAGTCATTTCTAGCTTAATATCAATTATATGGGATACAAAGTAAGAACAAGGATGACAAGTCATTCAATTTTTATGCAAAATCTGGGAGGTTTTCTAGCATCATAAAGGCTGACACTGAAAAGATGTTGGCCATAAGAAGTTGTGAGTCTACAGATGCTATGTATTTACCAATGTTTACATGCTTAAATAAGCATTTAGGAACAACATGCAAATGATATATAAATGAATTTAATGCTATGTGTTAGTAAATATTAACTACTGGCTCCTCTTAAGTTTCTTCCCTTCTATCAGGAAGTTTACATCATTGACTCTTACATGAAAACAGTTTGTCCTTAGATATTAATTGCCATGTTTCCATTTTCCAATAAAAGACTTCTACATATATACTGAAAATTTTTATTTCACAGTACTTACTTCCCCAAACACTTCACCACAGTATATCAGGAAGTGCAGAAAACAGAAACAAAACTTAAAAAAATGTTTTACGCATTTTATACAATTACCTTTCTTCCTTTGGTTCCTATTACTTTCAGTCCCATAAGACCCTGTAAAAAAAATCCCCAAATGTTATTTTTTTAAATTATTTTAAAAACACCTATAAAGTAAGTTAATTGATGTTACACGTAATAGGAAGTTTTCATTTTTATTACCAATCTGAGACTACCTTAGGTCCAGGAGGTCCTGCTCTCCCTGGCATGCCCTACAAAAAAGAAAAAAAAAAAAATTCCTTAATTTAAAAAGTTACAATCTTCAGCACCAATATAGGTCTTTTGAAGTACCCAATTTTCACGTGAGTTATATCACTATTTTTATTTTTTTTCCCACTTTTAAAACGACAATTCATTGTGAGTGGGTGACAATGTCTATACAGTCTAGTTGCAAACATATACATCTCTTTTACAGTTATACACATTAGTATTTAAAGTGAGGAATTATTTGAACATTAAAATTTATGCCTACATGGACAAGGATGCTTCTGAAAACATGAAAATTTTCATGCATAAAAATAATCAAAAGAAACTTAAAAAAAAAAAAAAAAAAAATCAAGATGTGCGCAGAAGGATATGGATTTCGCATACACATGTCTCTAGACCTCAAACCACTCTGGGAGAGTCAAGTATTCATATTTGTGTAATTCCATACGTTTCTGGGAAAATCGAAGGTTAAAGTAACAAGTGAGACTTAAGTTCATACTCACTGAAGCTCCTGGAGGACCCTGTGGTCCAAGCTCCCCGGGATATCCTTGAGCACCCTGGGCACCCTGCATATTAAAAAAGAAACAGGAATAAATCTCCTGGCAAGATTACAAGCAAACCACAAGGCTAAGTTCAATGAACTGAATAACAAACAGAGGAGCAGCACTGTCTCTGGATAACACAGAAGTATAATTCCTCCTCACTGCTTCATTGGTTGGCCTATGTTTTGAAACATGAAAAAACATAACTGTTCTAAAACTAAACTACTCAAGTGAGGATGTATGTCCTGTTTAACTGTGGACATTCTCATAATCCATATAGTCCCACTGCTAGCCCTAATAAGCGTTTAATCTTTCAAATACTCTATGCAATAAATTCTACACTTTAAAGCTTCATTTTCAAAGAAATGGAAAATTAAAAATTTTTCTTTTTCTTTTAATTTCATGTCCTCCATTTATTTTAACAGTCAAAAGACATGTCTGCTCTGCCTTCTCCTATTAATCTCCATTTTTAAAATATGGATCATACTGTCCTTTGTTAGTACACCAGAAGTTGAGCTGGTCTAATCTGTTCAATATCACTTCATGGGGAATTTTTGCAGTTAGAGTAGATGGTCGTTGTAGGTCCCTCCCAACTGAACTATTTATTCTATTCTATTCTATTTATAGGGGTAAACCCCTAAATCTATGACCAGTTTTTCTCCATTTCTTAAGTATTGTAGTTTGTCTGCAACCTGACTTCCCTATCTCACTTCACTAACACGTAGTGGACACTATTGGTTCTGATGGCAAAATTAATTACTATTGTCTTGGTGTACTCTGTTTTGTAAAGTCAGAAGAAAGACTCTGAATATAGTGTGTTAATCAGATTATGTAAAGTTAATAATTTTTAAAAACACAGAATTATTCTGGTTTAGAAATTAGTGAGATAATTGTAAAATTTACTATATCTACATAAAATATATAATACATTAAAATTATACAAAAATAATTTTAATATATATACACACATATCACATATAATTTATTTTTTTTTATATATATGTATGTATGTATGTATGTATGTATGTATCTCATAGTCTGAATTAATTCTGAATTACCTGAAGTCCAGGCATTCCTGGCAATCCAGGATCACCTTTTGCACCATACCCTTGGTTATATCCATCTGCAGGGCACCCCTGGACAATTAGATAAAAAGGAAGATAAAAAGTTATGCTGTAGAACTCGGTAGTGGAACAAATCTTCTAATACAGTTTGTAGGGAAATAAAGCAACATCAGAATTGCATAATGATGGCAACTGCCCACCATGGATAGTTCTGCCTTTAAAAAAGATTTTATTAAACAAAATATACCTTTTTCAGGCATTCCAGTTCTCTGTTAGGACAGTCTTCATTTCAGACATGCCTACATTACTCACCCACAGTCCTGACCTTCAATGTGGTTTTGGTACTTTTTATCCCTTTAAAATACTCTCTAGTGCATCTGCAGATTTCCATATGAATTCATAAGCTATTTGCTTAGCTCTTTGTGTGCTTGAAAGCATTAAATTCATTACATGCAATAATGGTAGTTAAAGGGGAAAAAAAAAAATTAAGTACTGTTTTGTAACCTGGGGTGAATGCAACTAGTACAGACGAAGCACCAAAGTTTGTGGTTGCTTCTTTTGGAAAGTAGACCTTCTATTACCCATGAATGGAGACATTAAGAACTCTTTCCCAGCAGCGAACATACACATAAGCTGTTGATCACCAATAAATATATCATGTAATATGGTGTAAATAACTGACCTTCTCTCCTTTGATACCAGCAATACCCTAGGGAGAAGAACAATCATATTATTAAAACAGAAAGCCAGAAGAGACAATGGTGAAAGGACACATTCTAAATATTCTCCAAGCTCAGTGCTCTTGAAGTGATTCATCTTCATGGACAAGGTGTATGGCCAGGTACATGTTTACTGTGCCAGACTTCAAATTAAGAAGAAAGGGCATATTGTTAAAAAATAGTTCAGTCTCACACAACTCTACAAGTGAAGGCAGAACAGTTTTGAAGCCTGACCTTAATAAATAAATAAATAAAATCAGGAGAGCCGGTAAAGTAAAGATCATGTTTAGAAGTTATTAGATGTGAAGCCACTGGAACTTGACAGACAGCATTCCTTTTCCATTTGTTTAGAAGTTTCTGTTAAGAACACATTTCTACAGAGAAAAAACAAATCCTAGGGTTAAAGCAATGCACCCAGAATGAGAAGTGTTGGGTTTAATTCCTGGTTCTTATTGACTTAATTAAGCCATATCCTCAAACATATTTTGGCATGAACTGAAACTGCAATGTATTACGTATATATTGGACACCTTTAGAAATGTGAGTGATAAATTTTCATTAATATCTCTTGAGACAGTAAAGAGCTAACACAGTCAATGAATTTGCATGCACTCATTAACTAAGAAGTTGAGACCCGACATACAGCTGATAAACCATTACTTTCAACTTTGGTTTCTTTACCAAACAGTTTTCATATATAGGTATACCCATTTTATTAATATTTCAACTGTTGTCAATACCAGCTAATGTGAGGCTTTACACTCCTTCAGTGAGTGGCTTTATGTGGTAGAAATGCACAAAATCATGACTTTCACAGACACCTACTAGAATGCCTGGAGCACCTCTTCTACCTGGAGGACCTGGAAAACCTCGATCACCCTGAAAGTAGTAAGAGTGACTGTTAATGCATATTATTATTTGGTCTGATTTTAGCAAATGTGATTAAAAAAAGTTTTTTATGTTATCATACTAAAATTGTGAGTTGCATTACCACCATATTTCCTAGAAGGGGCACAGCCACTCTGTATGGGTCTTGACTTCTATCCCAGACACCAGGCTTTATTAGCTATGTCAGATCAGTTCACTGTTTCACTAGAAACGTAAGACTTTCTGTAGTAGGCATTCTTCTGACTCCCTCTTTCAGAATGCTGGAAGTATTTGCTCATAGAGCAAAGGAAAACTAGTAAACCTGTGATTTAACATTAAGCCTTTTCTTTTAATTGTTTTCGGGACTTACGAAATGCCGACTGCAAGCTAGATACTGGTGAAATAAAATTAATTAACTATCTACCTTTTCTATAAGCCATTTCAACAGAAGGACAGGTTGGACAAAACTGATTAGGTCTTCTGGATTTAATGAAAAAAGTTTTATCTGTCAAAATATCAAACGTTATTCTTAACTTTTTAGCAAAGGCCATTAGCATGTATTATTTATCTATCTTACACAAAAAGGCAGCACTTTTCCTTCCTCTAGCCTCATGATTCAAATTTTTCCTAGTTGATAAAAGTTACAAACCAAAACAAATCAATGTTGTTGTATATTGGGGGAAAAATTCAGAATGTTTTTTGGCCGTTCCTAAGCATAGCCAAACACAATCCCCGTAACATTCAACTTGGTTTGTACCTTTGTGCCATTGCATCCTGGAACACCCGAGCGCCCAGGAGGGCCAACAGTTCCCGGTTCACCCTAAAAAGAAGTGCAAAATTGACACAAGCTTTGTTTTTGCACATTCATATTACCCTACAGCAACACTGAAAGAGTTTATGTTGGAGCAGTGTTTCACAAGACTTGACAGATTACAATGTGTTCTTAAATCATTACAATGAGTAAGAACTGCTGATGCTAAGATTTTTATCTCTAGGCTAACTGACAGAGACAACACTGATGTTGATACTAGAGTGAGTACATCGGGCTGAGGATAATTGTGTACTATAGCAGGAGAGAAATGGTTAAATCAGTTTTGTTTTTACTTACTGGAAGTCCTGGGGGACCTGAAAATCCAGGTATTCCTGGGACTCCCTAATGATATAAAAACAGAGGAATAATAATACAAATATTAAGCAAAAGCTTATGATGTGTTTTTTCTTTTGATCGCACTTAGAAGAATGAATTCTTATGAATTCGTATGATTCTATCAAAAGATCATTATTTCCTTAACCCTTCTGACTGTGAACTAAGTATAAAGGTAGCTTATGCACTGTTAACATAGACTGGTTTTGCCCACAGAAAAAACTCCAAAACAACTCTTCAGGGAATTCTAGTCTGAATTTTTCAGAGCACACTCCACTACTAAATACATACAGTATGAACCTTGTACATAAGGTGTAGCAAAAAAGGCAAAAGTTCTAAAAAATAGATAAGGTATGTGCATACTCCATGTCATAAAGTTTAAAAATACTTTAAAATCATACATAATGTTTTGTTCTTATTTTTCACAAATTATTGAACCAAGCTGGCATTCAACATGACATTTAATACATACAAGTTTGTTTAAAATATAAATACTTACTCGTATACCTTTGGGTCCAACTAAGCCCGTAAGCCCTGGAGAACCCTAGATCACAAATGGAAAACAACATATTTCAATATAATTGAGAAAAAGCACACATATGTCAAGAGGACATGCAGTATTTTTATTATTTTACCAATATTAACATGTGCACACAAAACTATATAAATAAATAAATGATTTGCCTACTACAGACACTAAAGCAAACAAACACTTAATACAACTTGCATAAATCATGGCATCTTTCCCCCCATTTCAGTGTTTAGGGGATATATCTCATCACAGGTCAAAAAAATAGCAGTCAGGGTATGTTGAGAAAGCAGTTGCTATGGATCTGTTCAAACTGTGAGACCTGGAAGTGCTTCCCTGTGAGGAAATAGCTGGAAAGCTCCCAGATATGGATGGTGTCCATATAATGATCAGGTATATGCATGTACCAGCCACTCTCACCTGCACTGTTGTGCACGGAAAGGAAAGCCAGGAGCAGGATAAAAGGGGGCTAAGCAGGATGGGAGAGCAAGGCTGAAAGAAGACAGCACAGCATGCCGCAGCACAGTCTAGACAGAACCTGCTAGAATTGTTTCAAGACTAAGAAACTTTTATTGCTCCCAGAAAGGAAATGGGGAATGTATAGAACTGCATAGCTCCTAAAATCCTGGGCGACATTTCATTTAAGATAATGTACAGGCATTGAATAGGAAAAGCTAACTGGAATACACTACAATAGATGGCATTCAGGCTAACAGAGATGTTCTTGCTAGATAAATTATCCTTACTTTTTGCCATTCTTGCAGAAGTTATTATCACTTATTAAAAGGGAAATGCTCTACTAAACACTTTTCAATGAGTTCAAACAAATGGCTCATCAACATGTATGAGATCCACCATGAGTATCCATTCCACAAAGTATTGTAAAAACGAGATAGGACAGAATAATGCAACAATACCCAAACAAATTAAAACTATAAAAAACAATTGTTTAAAGGTATGGGTAAGTGCTGAAGCCACATTAGTGCAGGTCCTCGGCATAATGTGAACGTGGCAGTACCTTCCTGATTTATACCATGGCTGAGTTCACACCATATTTAGACACAAATAATTTATTCACCTAAGTAAATTTATCGATGGCAGCAGAAGTGTTCCTCAAGACAAAAATAAATCATATGTTTTTTAATGAGTATTTACTTGTTTTTTCTGCTCATGCAGGAGTCATTGAAAATTCATATTCAGCCTCAGTTTAGGCATACAGGAAAGAAAGAAAGCCCAAATCACCAAAGTAACTCTCTCCATACTGCAGGCAACTAGGCATTGCCTAAACAGACCAAGATTTATCTTAATAAACATTTTTCCCTTCAAATTTTCTTAAATCAATTTTTCATATTTGTCTCAGTAGTAGCTTGTTTCCTCTCTTTCCAACAGATGTCAGAATGTAATCTTAAGACAAAATTGAAGTTATGCTGCTAAAATCTGTTTAGACCCATGTTACATTGCTGCTGGCAGTTCAGTGCAGGTGCTTTAGCACTGGCCAATGGACAACTGACAACAAAAGCCCATGTTCATATCAGCTACTTTGACTCAGTCAAAACTGACCATTGCATCTAGTGACCACACAAAATCCATCACCAAACAGGAGACTCTGAAACAAGTTTTGTTTTCTTTTGGTTTTGTTTTTTAAAACAGAATTCTCTACCTAGTCATAGCTCACTTTCACAGTCAAGCAGAGTAGTTTCTCTGTGTCTCACATACACACCTACCTTTGGTCCCTGTGGCCCTGGAGGCCCTTCTGGACCAGGAAACCCCCTATGACCAGGCGGACCTGGAACACCAGGAAAGCCCTTTTCACCCTGTAAACATTAAGAGAATCACATTCTTAAAATATCCATGAATTCTCCTTTTGATAACTTATTTCTAAGGCATTCATTACTTTCAGTACCTCTTAATTTCTACAGATCTGTCTGCTACTGTGGCAGTTATATTACCCTTGCTCATACTGACCGGTTTTTGTGGTCCTGCTTACGTGCTGTCTAGGCCACATGGTATCACTGAAGTAACATACTCATAAGTATGGTTGAAGATATCAGAAGACAACAGTACTCAAGATTTTGCAGAGTACAGAAGAGAGAAGGAGAACTGGCTGCATGAAAAGTTTAAGAAAGTAGCTGATACATATTCCTTGTTAGTATTTCTGCATTGTGTTTAGTCCCTACAAGCAACACAAATCCATCACAACAGACCTAATTTGTAGTTGGCAAACTTAATGGCTGCTGCTGTACAGCAAGGTCAGTTCCAAATCATTAATACCTCTCTTCACGTAAGCCAAAGAAACAGTGGGAGTCAAATGCAACAAAACCACTCAGATACAATAAAAGAAGTTTGCTTTAAGCAACAACTCTGTAAAATTGTTCTGAGTCTCAGAGATTAAGACATGAAGTTATTCTTTCATGTGTTTTTTAAGGTCAAGTTCAAATAACCAAACCATGTAAAGAAAACACAGAAGATTAAAGCTGTACAAATAGAATACAGGAGGCTAAGTTACAGTGGAAGGGGCATTTTCAGTTTTTTATTTAAATATAATGAAGAAGCAAGTCTTATCTTGGTTAAAATAAAGTGCTTCAAACCTAGAAACTGACAGAAAAGATTCTTCAGCTCTTTAGATAGCAGCAATTTAGCATGCTCAATTTTACATCAGTGAAGAGCTGCCTATTCAAGAGCTTTTACATCACAGCATAACACAGGAGAGCGAGGATGGGGTTATTGATTCTCTCAGAGTCAATTTTCCTATTGCTTTATCAGGAGAGAGTTATTAAAAAAAAGCATTTGAATTCTGCTGTGCAGAAGTTCTGGTATCTTCTTATTTTATGTACAAGATAGGATCAAAAAAAAGTCTCAGGGAAGTCAAAATACCTTGGCTTGTCCCTCCACCAATTCTCGTCCTTCAAAATCCCACAAACTCACCAGATTTTAAATAGGTTCTGAATTTAAAAAAAAAACAGTACTAAAATATAGTGTAATCCCAGAATATTTTAACACAAATCAAAATAACAATTGCATTATGAAGAGTCTGTAAGATCTGTATCCTAAACCGGCATAGCTTTTTATAAAAAATCATTTATTTCATCCACCACTGTGCCAAGAAAGGCAAAAAAAGGTTAATGCTATACCAAGACGTGCCACTGGAGGGGGTGTGGTACTAACTCACAGAAAAACGAAATAAGTCCTTGATCTTCCTTCCCTGAGCTTGCTATGCCCTCACTGCAGCAAGCGATGGAGTACTCTCCAGATACAGAGCAGCAGTGCACTCTCCTGACAGCTTCACACCCCTCCATACAGTACAGGCAATTTTATTCACACTTTCTTCTTGACAGATCAACAAGATCAGAGGATTCTCAGGTTGGAGAATTTCTTAACGTTGAGTGGTTATCAGAACATATTAATGCAATTGTCCTGACTTGACAATGCTGCCTGAAGAACTTCAACAGTGTAAACAATGATTAACTCTTACTTCCTAATTGCTCAGTTGCTTTAACATAGAACTGATGAAGACAAATTGTGGGTGTTCGTTCTTATTACTATTTCTCTTCTAGTGGACAGCTTATTTTTTTCTAATTTTTCAATTGGTCTCACTTTTACTGGTTAGGACAAAGTCAGGTTAGACCAACTAAGAACATCTAAAATAAGCACTGAGATTTTACTAAAGACATGAGTATTCTCCTTTCCCACTTACGAAAACATATTTTAATAATGAACATATTTACTTTGAGAGAACTTTTCTCCACCACTGAAATGAAGCTTCCTTCATTTGTGGTGCAATATAACATTTTTTTCTTGGTAATAAAAGTACAGGAGGAAAGTTGTGAGTAATTGTTTACCAGCTACATGTGTCGATCAGTGGGACTAATCACAACCCTAAGCCTATAGAGGCATCTGGAACCTACTGATAAGGTTTAGTATAGCAATCACTGTGTCCACAGTTAGCCTGAATTAGAACCATGACCTCTTTAATAATGTCCCTTTCATTTGTGAATCAGTTGTTTTTCCAGCTACAAGCAGGAGTTTGAAAGAATTTTTGGCATTTGCGTAATTCAGGTTTGTCTAAAAGCCACTCCAAGCCTCTGCCAGGCTACTACTGGCAACAGGCAGAGCCATGGCTCTGTTACTTCTGATGGATTTGATGCTCGTTCCCTCACTGCTGGCAAGTGTTTGTGATAAGGACCCAGAAACTCATTCCCTGTGTCAGTCTGCAGGAGATTTCTCTGTTTGATGCATGTAGATTTATCTGTTTGATTTCATGTTTGAAAGCATGTAGCTTTGCTTCAGGAACCGGAAAAGTGGGGGGAGATGGGCAAGGTCCAAAGGTGGAAAGAGGGAAGCACTGAATATGACACTCTTGATGGCATTATGAAATTCGTAACAGGAGAGCTGCCGCCAGGCTAATTGTATCTGTTGGCATTTGTTAGGAGTTTGTGAAAGGGACCTAGTGCTTCAGACAGTTGCTCTTCTCTTGGTGTTCAAACATCATGCAATGCTGAAAACAAACTAATGCCTTTAAGAAAAATAAATTCAAAAGTCTTCTTAGTTAAACAGTGTCCCCAGAGCTATTGTAACAGATTTTTGTAAGGTAAGGTATTCCTTTTACAATTCTCTGTAGACTCTGTTGACAGAAGACCATCACACAATAAATTCACTCACTATATCAACTCAACTAATGTATTAAAAATTTCCAGGCATAAGCTAATCTTAAAAAAGGAAAAACGTATTTGTTCTTACCTTGCTACCTTTCATGCTATCACAAAAGCAGGGACTTTTACCTTTGCATACACAGCTCTGAAAAACAAAAAGACAAACTTCATAATAAAATTATTTTTCTCATTGTGTTGTTTGGTGAGGGGCAAATGAGATCTCAGGGGTTTTAGTAAGGCAATTATATCACAAATACAACTTAAAAACAAAAAAGTTCATGAAAAGTGGCAATTCCTAACAGTGGAAAAGAGCTCATTATTCCTCTGTACTGTCTTCTGAGACAGATAAGGGCACTAGTTTAATTTGGGGTCACTAGTTTACCTTGGGGTAAAGGCCAAGAAGCTGTGCTTAATGCCACCAGGGTTATAATATCAGTATGAGTGTAAAATTCAAGAGTTTGGGCTCACAGCACTAAACATTGATGATTCTTTAAACAACTTCCTGTAGAAACAAACACATATACCGATACTGTTTTAGATTACAATGATACTTTTTTTATTTTCACCTATTAACCAGTAATTTTCTGACTTTTTGTAGCTGCCTTCACCTCCTGACACTGGCTCATAGTACCTAATACAATTACAAAGGACCCTCAACTTTGCTGTTTCTTAATTCTGGAGGTTTCCTGAGCCAAACTGTGTGACAGTGAGTGCCCTCCCACAGGGATGTTCCCACTCCTGCAGCAAGTCCTGGGCTGTAGCTGCTACCAGCACATCTGTGTGTTCAGGTGAGCCTGGAGTTCAAAGTCCCCTTGGAGGGCTGAGTGTTGCACTGTAGCATCCAAACCTCTCTTTGAGTCTGTGACCTCTACTGCCACAGTATGGCATGGCTATCTGGGGTTAACTACCATTTGGCAAAATTCAATGATTAATCAAGCAGGAAGAGATATTCACTCTTTTATTGTTTACACTTAAGTGAAACAAACAAATAAAAAACCCAAACAAGGATATTCAGTATGTAACTGGACAGACAGCATGACTAAATCAGCTAGCTCATGTACTAGGTAGTCATGGTAGCAGGGAGCTCAGCAGAGCTGCAAAGCACATCTGAGATCCTGGGTGAATATGAGAACACTTAACCCTTCTGTGCCCTGTTCCTGCTACAGCTATCATGCACTCAGTACCTGAGCTAGCCCAGTCTGGCTAGGATAACTCTGCAAAGGACTCTTCTACACTCATGTAGGCATATCCTATTTCAGTAGAGGGGATCCTTTGTTAACATAAATATTATACATACTAAAATATCACTGAGGTTAATTGAAGCCGTTTATTTCATAGAGATGTTTATTGTCCTTCTTTGTACACTTAAATTATTTCCTTTGTTTTTGAAGCTCTTGCTGAATGACTTTTTCAATTGTACCACTGTAGAAAGAGGGTTATTTTTCAGTTCATCCTCCCACTTTAGTATATATGTTTATCATAATGACCATATACTATGTTATAGTTACAGACAGTAAGAAAAAGATCACATATTGGTTAGGAAGATATTTTTCTAAGTTGCATAAAATTCAGAAAAGAAGGAAGAACTGTATATTTTCTTACATGATTAAAGCCTTTAAGATGGTATGATATGAAATTTCTATTTACATCTTGAAGACAGAATTAATTAACCCCTACAACTGGTCATAATGTAACAGCAGCACTGTTCCAAATTTGCAACTCTTCCAGTGGTATTCTCAAAAAACAGAAAGCAAAAGTGTTCTCCATTACATTTTAAAATTATAAAGTCAGACTGTCACTAAATTTAAATTTTCCTGTAGCAATCTGTTCAGGTAAAACATTTGAAGAATTGAAAAGCATCTTTTCTTCCCACAAGCTAGGATCAATGTCTTCTGTCTTCATCATCATCCAAAACTAAGGTATCAGCCAGCTGCCTTCATTTCTTACACATTTCACAGTGTTTGTCTCTTTCCTTTGACTACACAAAGAAACTTGACATCTCGTTTGGAACAACTCATTGAGTCTCTTTGGGTGCCTCTTTTAGGTGCTGCTGGAACTTGCTGTTCTCTATGGATTGGAGAATTACTGACAGTACCTGCCTGTTCGGTGGCTGAAGTTAGGTGAGATGATGCCATCTATTAATTTAGAAATAGATGCAGGGGGTA